CAGTTTTGTTTTTGTTTTTATGCCTTTGGCTCTAAGTAAAAACAAACAAACAAACAAACAAACAAAAAAACACCTTAAAGTGGCCTTAACAATAATGAAATTTATTATTTCACATAGAAAGGTTGGCTAGTTCAGTGGCTCAACATTACTATCAGGGACCCAGGCCATCCATCCTTGATGTATTCAGGCTTTGTCCCCAGATCAGTCTTCCATATGGCTTCAAGATGTCCATCAAAGACCCATCATTACATCCCCAGAACATCTAGGGCCAGGAATAGACATCATTTCTTCTTGTGAATCCCTCTCTCTCACTCTAATTTGTTGTGTATCTCTTTTTAAGGGCAAAGAAATTTTTCCCAGGACCCTCCTCCACCCCAGCAGACTTCCCCTCATATTGCCCAGAATGCCAGAAGCCCATGCCTAACCAGCCATTGGCAAGGGCACTGGGACCACAGTGGTGGGCCTAGACTAATCCAGACTCTTTTTGGGGGCTGGCTCTGCAAGCCTCCCTGGAGTTCCTGGATGCTCCGAAGAACAAAATGAGGAAGAGGGGAGATGGGGGTAGGGAACAGGTATAAGTTGTGCCACCAACAGTGTCTGTCACAGAATCCAAAGTCCGGGTTGTTGGCCTTGACACACTGCTGCTATTCTGGGCTCTCCTCTTGGCTCCCACCCTCACTCCAGCATATTTCCTTAACTGTGAGCCAAGTCCCCTTCATCTGTAACTCTAAAGGACATACCAAGGCTGTCCTTGGCAGAACGGTGAGAAACATGCTCCTTGGGGCCCAGTGCTCTTGTGCAACTCCCTTGAGAGGTCAGTGCCCTGTGTGGTCAGCACAGGCGCCATCTTGGTCTGGGGGTGGGGAGAGGAGCACAGCCCTGCCTAGGAAAGCTGGGCCGGCCTGGCCCTGACCCAGCCCAGAGCTGAGTTCCAGTCCTGCCCCCTGAGATCTTGTCTTTCTGGTCTGTACTATTCCTTCTCTTAGAACCTGAATTGTTTTCTTGACAAATTCTAACTTGCCCCCGTGGTCCTTCACCCCAACTTTATTCTCATATCTCCTTACCCTGAACTCCCACAGTAAGACTTCCCGAATTCACTGAATTTATGATCGTTCGTTGGTCTCCCCTGTGCATTAGAAGCCTAGAGACAACATTAGACAATGAGGGAGGAAATTAAGTTTAGTAGCTGTGCGCCACGTGCTGGCCTAAGTTCTTTCACGTGCACTAGCTTACTTTATCCTGACAGCACCTCGGCAGGCTAGGCGATTTTAACCTTAGCGTTGTCGTTTCGGAGTTCAGGTTCAGAAGCTAAGGCGCCTGCTCGGAGAGGTTAAGGTCTGCTGAAGGCCACAGGCTATGATGAGCCTATGATTGCCCGACCTCATGCCCTGCTCTCCCCCTGCACCACCATTCTGGCTTCATAGTCTTCGTAGTTACAAAACACATTTGCATGCGTTAATTTGAGCCTCACAACAGGAGCAGGGTGAATAGTAGTAGTAAGTGCATGTTATAAATGAGGATGGTGGGGTTCCGAACTTAGCTTTTCTGACTCCCACACAGTGCACATTCAGCCACTGGCATATTTGTTGAATGGGTGACTCAGACTGTAGTAGGTATTCAGTAAATAATTCTTGCTAAATTACATTATCGAATATAAACTTAATGTCACTGCTTCTAGGTCTCTATGTTCCTTTTTTCCCTGTCACCTGTCCTCTATCACCTCCCCTCTGGGCGCGGGCTTGCCTTGGAGTCCCTCTTTGCCCAGGAACTCCATCCTCCTCGGCGCAGGCTCACAAGGAGCACAGCAGCCACATCTCCTCGGGCAGGTGCCCGGACAGGGAGGGCTTAAGCAGGCAGTCTTTTGAGATTGAGCCGAAGGGCCCTAATGGTTTTTACTCCCCCACCTGCCACTGTAGGGCTCCCTTCGGTCCTGGAGTGGGGAGGCTGTGCTCCTCAGCCTCTTCCCTACCCGAGGATTTGCTCTGGGCCAGACAGACTCGCAACCTCTGCTTTCCAGTTCTGCTGCCTTGGCCCTCCGGTCATCACACTAGTGCGCCCTCCCCTCTCCCCTCCCTCAGCCCCGCCTCCTTCCTCTGGCCACACAGCCCCGGACACGGTACACACAGCCCAGAGCCTCGGCTCGAAGGGAAACAAAAGGAATTGCCTGGGTTCCCATGGCTGTGGCAGCCAGCACCTTCATACCAGGGCGCAACCCTCAGAACCGTCACTATATCCCAGGGTAAGACTTCTGCCGAGAGCACTCCCCTGCCTGCCTCTGGGAATAGGGGTAGAGGGATATAGGAATTGTGCCACCGACCTTTGGACCAAACGGACATACTGGTTTGGGAGGCCCAGGGCTGAGGCACCTATGGCGTGGGATGGAAAGGAAAAAGCACGGAGCAGTGATAGCTGGGTCTGCTGTGAAGCTCTGTGTTTGTTGTCTTCTCCATGGGAACAGGGTAACAGCAGAGGGGATAGATGGAAAGCCCAGGCAGAGAACTTGCAAACGCCTGCTCCCAATGTATACACAGTTGAGTCCAGAAAGATCAGGGCTTCAGAGGTCTCTGCTTCTGTCTCTCGGGATGGTGGGGCATGGGCTGGAGGTGAGGAAGTAAGTCCTGTGCTGCAGGTACACTGGACATTGCCCACTGCTCCGGTTCAGCATGGGCCAGACCTATGGGCAGGTGACCCGTCAACTACTTCGAGGCCCTCCTGGCCTAGCCTGGCCCCCTGCCCATCGCACGCTTCTGCCTCCCATTCGGCCTCCAAGATCTCCTGAGGTTCCCAGGGGGAGCCTACTTCTCAGGCGTGGGCAGGAAAGGCTCAGCTCCAGCATGATCCCTGGGTACACAGGTTTGTACACAGGTATGAACAGGTTCCCCTATCCCAGAACATGTGTCCCAAACACTAACGGAAATCTTCCTTGCCCCCTGCCCACCCAGGTTTTGTACCCCAGGCACAATTCATCTTTGCTAAGAACTGCAGCCAGGTCTGGGCTGAGGCTCTGAATGATTTTACTCAGTGGCATGGGGGTCAAGGTAGTCAAGAGCTGCCAAAGGAGGCCAAGGGAGAAAAAGACATGGAGAAAGACCAAGAGCCAAAGACGGAGCTGGAGCTGGAGGTGACCATGCCAGAGATGGAGCAGCAGGCGGAGCAAGTGAGACCAAGAAGGCTGGTGGGGAGTGTGCGGGGTGGGGGTGAGGGCGGGGAGCTTTACTTTTATGTGCCCAGGGCTGGGGTGGCCATCAGTGCTGTGGCTGTGGGCACAGGGGATATGGGCCTGACTTCCAGCTCTGCCCCCCTGGGAGCTTGTGTGAGAGCACAGGGGCTGAATCTGATAGCCTATTTTTCTTGTATCACCTTGCACAAGGCTTCTCCCTATTCCATGGATGACAGAGACCCTCGGAAGTTCTTCATGTCAGGTGAGAGGAGGTGGGTGATGACCAAAGGCACAGGGGGGCCCCCAGGATGTCTTGACTCAATATCCCCATCCCCCCAGGCTTCACTGGCTATGTGCCCCGTGCCCGCTTCCTCTTTGGCTCCAGCTTTCCTGTGCTCACCAACCAGGCACTGCAGGAATTTGGGCAGAAGTACTCACAGGGCAGAGCTCAGAAGGATTTCAAACATCTCCCCCCACTTCCCAGGACCTACCCTCAGCACCAGGGTCTTTTACCCAACTATGGGGGCTAGTGCCAGGTGAGAACAGCCCCAGAGTGAGGCCTTGGGGACTGAAGTGTTTGTGAGTGTGTGGGATGCGTGGGGGTGAATTGAGGGGTTGGAACTAATAGATGTAGGGGGATCTCAGATCATAAGGTTCAGCTTTGTCATTAAGCAGAAAAGGAAACTGAGGTAGCTCACAGTGGGGAGTTAGGACCAGATTTTGGAGGGCAGCTTGGAGGGTCTAGGCAACTGGCTGAGAATTAAATGGCTTTTCCATGCCCCTGGCTACAGTGACAGACTCTGTTGGCCACACAGGGTATAAGTTGCAGTTCAACCACACATTTGGGCATCTTACCAATGATGCTCTGGGTCTCAGCACCTTCCAGAAGCAGCTCCTGGCTGAGGTGCCTGAACTTCAATTTCTCCCTTCCCTTTTCATCTTACCCCAGCCATCCTTTTGGAGGGAAAAAAGGTGGGGGGCGGGGATAGGAACAGAGAGAAAATGGCTTGGAGGCTGAGCACCTTTTTTATTAATAGGTGTAATAAATAAATAAATAAATACATACATAAACAGAAGCCTGGGCTCCTCCTTCCTCATCTGATGGCCAAGCACTGGCCACAGCCTATTTACAGCTTGGGGGCTTAGGGATTTGGCCCCAATACTGTCACCCAGCCTCATCACCACCTGACATAGGGAACCCTGCAAATGGCCTTCTGGGCTACCTCCTTCCAAAGGAACTTGCTCATCTACACCCATGGAAGTGTTGGCCCAGATAGGCCAGGGAAATCCTGGCAGCCCAGTGCTGCATCCCTTCCCTCCTTTCCTGGGTGGAGGTTTAGATGAGGTCACTGGGACAGTTATGGGAGTAATTAATACTGAGCACAGGGAGCAGGTGCCAGCACAGGGATACGTGGACCCAGCTCTCAGTCTACTCGCTGTAGTCAAGCCAGAGGGCTTGGGACGGGCTCTCAGGTGCAGAGTCTGGGGGTTATGAGGGTCCCTGAGGCCACCAGCATGCACAGGGCCTCAGTTTTGGCTGCTTCCGGGGGATGGACTTGGAGTTGGGGTCAACGTCACATAGGCCAGAGGCACCAGGCCAGTGTCAGGGCCACGGCTGCAGCGCAGCCAGTCTCCTCCGGCTGGCCCCAGCACCCGTAGGATATCTCCCTTGTGGAAGCTCAGCTGTCCAGGGCCTGTGGCCAGATGGTGGCACAGTGCCTGCACCTCACTGGAGAAACAACAAATGGAGGTCAGAGAAGCCCCATGAAAGGCCAAACCCAGCCCCTGCACTCCTCCTGTTTCCCTGGGCTCACCATGGAGGCTTGGAGGGCAGGGCTGGAGACTGTGGCTCCTGCAGGCTCTCCTTGGGCTCTGGCTCCCGGCGGGCACCCATCGTCTGTGCCACTAGTTGGAACATGGACTTGTCCAGGCTCAGCCAGTCTGAGGGGAGTCTAGGGGAGAGCACCTGGGCTCTGGCTCTGCCCATGCCCTGGCTTAGGTCAGGCTCCCCCACTCCCTCTGTCCATACCATGGGCAGGCTCTCACCTGTTTGTGGACCGGGCCTCCCGCTGAACTTTTCGGGAACCAAAAAGATGTCCCCACTTGATGCCCCCAGGTGAAGGCTCCGAGGCCCCTTCCTCATTTTCCATTTGCAGGGCAGTGGGCCCTTCTTTCTCCCGACTGCGTCTCAGCTCAGCCAGCACAGAGTCAGGGGGGCTCCCCATCCAGAAGGGCCAGCCCCTCTCCCGGCCAAAGGCCTCCTCAGGGGCGGGGCAGGCCTCAGCCCCCTCCACTACTCCCTCTCGGGGGGGTGGAGCCTGGGGAGGCCCCCCGCTTCCTGCCCCTTTCTTTTTCTCACTGACGCTGCCACTGCTGCTGTTGCTGCTACCACGAGGGAACCTAGAACCCTCCGTGGAGCCATCAATGTAGACCTGGGAGCTCTGCATGAGCTGGTACCACCAGCCAGCCTGCTTGCCTCGGGCCCACCTGCCACTCCCTGAGCCACCAGCTGCCTCTGCCACCTCTTCTGTCTCCTCCTCTTCCTCTTCTCCACCTTCTGGGGCACCCACACCCTTTACCCGCTCCCCATGGGCTGCCCTGTCCATGTCTCCAGGGCCCTCCTGGCCCCGGGCACGGGCCAACTGCAGTGTGGAGTGGGCAGACAGCAGCAGGTCCTGGGACACCCGCAGCAGTTCCTTGTGCTGCCGCTGCTGCTGCCCACTCTGCAGCAGCCGGTGCTGGAACAGCAGGTCGAGGCTGAAGGGCAGGAGGGCCAGGGGCTGTAGCAGCAACAGCAGCTCCTCAAAGAGGCCAGGGCACACGGTATGGGCTGCACTCAGGAAGCCCCAGGGCTGGTAGTGGGTCTGGATGATATCTAGAAAAGAGAGAGGAACTGATCCACACGGAGGAGCAAAGCCTGTCCTAAGTGTGACTCTGAAAGACAACATGGGCAAAGCCACTGCATACTGCTGCAACTTCAATGTACACGATGCCTCCTGCAGCTGTGCAGTGCATAAACTCCACAACCCTAAGTGGTGGCCCTGAGAGTTGAGAGGAGAGAGGTGCTGGGGTTCCTGGCCACCCTGACTTCCAGACTGCCTGAGTATCCTGCTGAGTCAAAGGCTCTAACCCAAGCAGAAGCTGGGGAATGACTTGGGTGAAAGCCAAAGCTCTGAAGATGAAGGCTGGTGTGCCCCCTTTCCCCATCTCTAGCATCTGAAAAGACAGTTATTCCTCTCTCTTCCGAGCCTATATTGAGTTTGCACGACAGAGCAGGATTCTGAGCATTACCTTCATGGTTATAGAGGTGATTAAACCAGAACTCCAGGGACCGGATGCTGTAGGGAGACAGGTGGAGAGTTGAGTCTCGTGTGGATATAGCCAGATAACAAGGTGCAAAGAGACAGATACAGGAGGTCAGATACAGGAGGAGGTATAGGTGAACATCTCCCTTCCATGGCAGGGATGATGCCTGGTTCATTTCATGTAATATAATTCTGGAAAGTCGGTGGGGATGTGGGGAAGGGAGTGAACAAGTGATTTACAAGCCAATCACTTCCTCCTAGAATGGAGTCAGCTTGCATAAGAACCAAGGAGTCAGGGCAGCTAGTGAGCGACAGTACAGGCAGCTCAGGGCCAAAGAAGATGACCTGGGCCCATCCTTGAGAAAGAATACTATGACATGGGTCCCAAGGTGGACTTAGGATCATGCAGGATTTGGAAGCAGTGCTGGAATTGAGAGGATTAGGGTTTGCAAGATCCAGAGAAACTGAGAAACCCAATTCATTTCCAAATAAGCCAGATTATGCGTTTGTAAAAGCGGAACACCATGTTGGTGATCAGTGTCAGAGGGTCATGGGTGCAGCAGGAAGTTGGTGATGTGCTGAGAGGCTGTGGTTAGGTGTGGAGAAAGTGTGCCTGGGCCCTGGCCTCAGACCCTGCACATCCACCCTTCTGTCTCGAGGGAGTCGGTTCCTCAGAGGAGGCAGGGCCTGTGTGGGGGCCGGCTGTTTAGGACATCTTGCTGCTCCACACACTCACTTGAGCAGGCCAAGGATAAAGGCGTTGAAGCGCATCGTGTGACTGGTGAGTTCTGGGAACTGGCTGACTTTGTTGTAGAGGCCATGCAGGACCTTGGTGGATGGGCCTGGGAGGAAGTCAGGGTTTGAGGTCACGTGACCAATTCCTGGAACACTGAGTTCAGCCCGCAGCCCCCATCTTGCCACCCATCGCTTACCTAGCTGTGTGGAAGCCTCGACCACACTCCACGGCATGTTTCTACGTTGCCCGATGATGACGTCTAGTACAAAGGCCTTGAGCCCGTCTTCTAGCACTGCCCGGACCGCAGGGCACAAGTACTTCAGAACCAGGTGGCCCACATTAGGGCTCACAGAACTGTTTCCCAGCTTTGCCTGCAGATGTAGTAGGGAAGTACAGGAAATAATTTGGAGCCTGATGTTGGTCCTCTCTTAGTAGGCCTTCACGGCTCCCCTCTTGCCATCCCCATCCTGAAGTACCCAACTCTGGTTCTAAATGCAAGAGAGCAAGGGAAGGTGGCAGCGCAAAGTAGGTGAGGGTCTGTAGGGCAGAGCGCAGCTTTCCACGTTTTCTCGCCTACCTTCACCCCAGGATCCCGGCTTGTGCCAAAATGGGCCACGATGAGGTCCACAGCAGTGTTAACAGCTTTTACCAGCCCTGCACGGGAGAATTTGATGTGACAGGTCCCAGAGCAAGTCCCTAGCCAACTCGGCTGGGGCTGAACCTTCAGTGGGAATAGGGAAGGGCTCCCACACTTCCTCTGTCTCTGCACCTGTGCACGGGTCTGGTCAAGATATGCAGGCCTGGCCCTTTTCTCTTTCTGCCCTGCTCTCAAACCCTTCCTGTCTTTACCTCCCATCCTGGAACCACCTCAATGACATCACTGTCAAGACCCTCAACGTCCTCACTTCCTAGCCCTCTTATTCCAATCCCAGATCAATCCAATTATCAGTCTTCTCCACTCTGAGAAACCAGGCCACTGGCTGCTGTTGGAGGAAATCCTGGTCCCGCACACCAGTGCCAGGTACGGGTGATTCTCTGCTGCGTGCCTCGTGTGCCTCGTCAGCGCCCTCTGCCACACCCTCAGGTTTATCTCCGGCCCTTGGTTCTGCTCCACACAGAGAACATGGCCATGAATCCCTTCAACTTCTCTTCCCCTCCAAAACACGTGACTGGGTTGTATCTATGCCCCTCCGTCCTGCCTCACTCCCTTCTCATCCTGAAGGGAGGTGGCTGTTCCTCTCCTCACCCGAGGCTCTCCTCTCCCTCAGCTTTGTGCGGAACTTGGCTTCGCCTTTCTCCCTTTTCACAGGCTGCTTTCCTTCAGCCTGCCACTAAGCTCGATCCCTTCCCCACCACCTCGCTGAAACTGCTCTCTCCTGTTCACTGGTTGCTTATTTGCTAAATAGAGTGGTTCTTGTCAATCCTCATCCTACTGGATGTCCCCAGCACGTTTACGCACGCTGCTAGGCCCAACCGTACCTTCAGCTACCCCTACTGGAGCACTGAGGCATTTATTGCACGGCGGTCTCCCTCGCTACACTCGGCTCACTGAGGGAAGGGACTGAAGCCTCTGATAAACGAGCCCTGTGCGCACACAACTCACACCCACAGTAAAGACTTCTTCCTCTTGCCCCAATGCCTGTGCTCTCCAACTCCTTCTCAGCACTGGGAGTTTGAAGGCAGGGAAATGTTGTGAAGGGCCAGACAAGAGGGCAACAGGCACACAGGCATGAATAGGTAGCGACAGCAGACTCCCCGGCCTGAGCTGCGGGTTATACATACCTTTCTTCTGAAGCAGGTCAATGGAAATAGCCTCTGAATTGCCATCTGGGGACAGACAAAACTCAGCTGGAGGCTTCTCAGTCAAGGAAAAGGGATCTTGGAAGTCAGGGAAGGTCAGTGGTAATGGCTTCACTACTTGACCTGGAGAAGAAGAGACAAATCAATCCAGAGCACCTCTCCTTCCAAGAGTTCCAGTTCAGTTCAGCGCCTCATACCCTCTGAGACATGTTCCTTTGGGACTGACCCTTCTCTA